TAGTATACCTAATCATTTTCGAGACGCTCTTGCTACCCCTAAGTGGAAACATGCCATGATAGAAGGAATGCAAGCACTTCATAAGAATGGCACTTGGGAATTAATTGAATTACCTAAGGACAAAAGACCTGTGGGATGCAAATGGGTGTATACTTTGAAACATAAAGCGAATGGTTCAATTGAGCGTTTCAAGGCTCGACTAGTAGCACAGGGCTTTACTCAGACTTACAGAGTAGACTATCAGGAGACCTTTGCACCAGTGGCTACGATGAATTCAGTCAGAGTACTTCTCTCTCTTGCAGCTAATCTGGATTGGCCACGTCATTAGTTTGTTATAAAAAAATGCTTTCTTACATGGTGATCTAGAAGAAGAGGTGTATATGGACATCCCTCATGGCTTTGAGAACCATCAGACAAAGGGTAAAGTATGTAGATTTCGGAAGTCATTATATGGTCTCAAACAGTCTCCAAGAGCTTGGTTTGAGAGATTCACTCAGCTATGCTCCGATATGGTTTCAAATAGAGTCAGCCTGATCACACTTTGTTTGTGAAGCATTCCTCACATAGTAAGACTACAACTCTCATTGATTATGTGGATGACATAATGCTCACAAGAAATGGTAGTGAGGAAATACCCCGGTTGAAGAAATATTTGGCAAGCGAGTTTGAAATAAAATACTTGAAAAATCTAAAATATTTCCTAGGTATTGAGGTTGCCCGATCCAAGAAAAGAATTTTCATCTGTTAGAGGAAATATGCTCTTAACCTATTGAAAGAAACCAAGATGCTTGGGAGTAAAGCTTGTAATAGATACACCACTGGAGCTAAACCAGAAAAAGTGATGATAGAGGGGGAACTATTGTTGACAGGGGAAGTTATCAAAGACTAGTGGATAAACTCATTTACTTATTCCATTCTCGTCTTGACATTGCCATGGCAGTTAGTGTAATTAGCCAGTTCATGCATCCTCCTCATGAGACACATTTGGCTACAGCAATGCGCATCCTTAGATACTTAAAATCTTCTCCAGGAAAGGGTCTCTATTTTTCCAAAGATGATCATCTTCGAGTGGAAGCTTACACATATACTGATTAGGCAGGATCAGTAACTGATAGAAGGTCCACATCTGATTATTGTACCTTTGTTGAAGGTAATTTGGTTACTTGAAGGAGCAAGAAACAAAATGTAGTCACCGAATCTAGTGCAGAAGCCGAGTTTAGAGCCATGGCACAAGGTGTATGTGAACTCTTCTAGATCAAGTTGCTACTAAGTGATCTAGGGATTAGTTATACTGATTCCATGCAACTGTACTGTGATAATAAGGCTGCTATTAACATAACTCACAATCCAATTCAGCATATGACCGAACGAAATATGTGGAGATTAATCACCACTTCATTAAAGAAAAACTCACCAATGGGAATTCGAAGCACCATGATGTGCTTAGTAAGCTGGGCATGAGAGACATCTTCGCACCAGCTTGAGAGGGAGTGATAGAATAATATCTTTGGTTATTGTGTATTAATTATTCTATTAGCTGGTATTTCCTTATTCTGTTATTTCCTTATTATGTTATTTCCTTATTTGTGCCTCCAAAGCTTCCATTGTAAGCTACTTATTATCAATATAAAAGGGTAATTGTCTAATTATTCTCTAAGTTTTTTTCTCTCTCAAACAAACACCAAGTGGTTACTCTTAGTTCCCTATCCCTTTATCAGTTGTTCCAAGCTCTAAGCCACTGATGTAGGAATAATGAAGATAGAGAGGAAATTGGTCACCAAACTATACAACGTGCTTTTACTCAAAGCAAGCCTTCCTCATTTAGAAAGAATATAGCCTCCTCTAAGCAGCCAATCTCTTCTCAAACCTCTTCACAATTGGATCCCACACAACTTTCTTTTTGAAAGATATGCCCAATGGCAAACCCAAGTATTTTGTTGGTAAAACACCCACCCTACATCCCAAGTCAGCCGCCAACCACTCCATGCTTGCAACCTCCCCCACAGTTATGGGTATGATCTCACTCTTCACAAGATTATTCCTCAAACCTAAAACCCTCTCAATGCCTCAACTCATTCTCATCTACCACACCAAATTGATGGTATTATCCACAAACAACAAATGCTCAATTGTCACCATCTTCCCTCCCCTATCACCAACATAAAAGCCTTATAAGAGAACATCTCCTACCATCTTCCTAATCATCCCTCAAGTACACCCATGACAATAATACAAAAAAGAAGCAAGATAAGACCATCCTGCCTTGGACCCCTCAAGTTGTCAAAGAAGTCTCTAGTGATTCACAATAACAAAAAACTAAATTGCTCTAACGCACCTCTCTCCAAAACACATCATTTCCAATAAATAAAGCAACAAGTCCCAACACATGTGATCATAAGGTTTTTCCATATCCAATTTACAAATGATACTTGAAACCTTGTTTTTGACCTTGGAACCCACACATTCATTGGCCACTAATGACGCATCAAGGATTTGCCTTCAACCGACAAAAGCATTTTGAGGCTCCGACATGCTTTGTTTGTTTTGAATAATCACAAGGTTTGCTAAGGTAGTCAAACCTAATCCGCACTAAAATCCTCCAACATTATTCTACTTTGAGGCAGACTACCATTTCTTATGGGTGCAGACATTCTTAGATTTTTAGATGGAAACAAATATGCAATATTCACGTAGTACTCACGTGGTTCACGCAGAGGAAAGAATTCATCCTCCATGCTAGCAAAACCAAAAACCAATCTCCTAGGACTTCAAATGAGAGTTTAATAGGATAGTATCACAGTCTTTCAATATGGTTCCCTTAAGTGCCTTGCATGCCCAACCCATGCATCCCAAGAAAAGAGTCAAGTTGAAAAGGAAAATATATGAAGCAAAGAATTCAATTATTCAAATAGAATGGGATGGAAATGAATTTAATAATACAGAATGTATTGATTTTTAAAAACCATGTAAAAGGATGGGATAAAAGTTCAGAAAGAAAAACAAAAAACATCAATTGTCTATTTAAAAAGTGCCTTCCTAGGAACTTATTTTGAATTAGTAATGTAGACTAATCAATCCTGTCCCGTTCAAGAAATCAGCCCAAGCCAAGCTTATTGGTAACCTAAGAACCACGAATATGGACACGAGACACAAATACAAGCAAGCAAACACTACATTTATCAAACAAAAGCACGACACGCCACAATAGTGACAAGAATAATTAGAAATAATTTTCCATATTCTATGCAGCCAACCCCATTTAATAGGACTTAAGGGTTAGTTTGGTTTGGTTTGGTTTGGTATTCTATATATTTTTAAAAATTATGAATAAAAAGTAAAATACGCTTTTATTTTAACATATCAAAATAGTAAAAAAAATATTTTCCACATTCTACAAATTGGAAAAGATATGTAAATAAAAAATCCAAATATCTATTTTAGAAATCTATCGATACATAAATTTGAAAACCTAGGGCTTTTAAAATGCTTAAAATTAAAAATTCTAACAGATGAGTTAAAAGGTATAAATCCACATTATTTTTATTTTATCATTGGATCCTAAGTTATCATTCTTCGAACTTGCAATGGATTAGATGTGTGTCTAAATGATGGACGCGTGTGTCACTGAAGCGTGTCTAGTTTCAAATCAAAATAAAAAATAAACATAATGAGCTTGGATGCATGTCTAACACACACTGGGGAGTGTCTAGTGAATGTCGTAGCTTGACATGAGTTTGCCACGAACGTCCACCTTTTTAAAAGTGTGCATGCTTAGTATTGGGTCCAAGGAATTTTCAAGGTCTTGGCATTGGTCACCAAGATTACTTGGCCCTCTACATTGTTCCCTTATGCTCTATTTGGTTCACTGGAATGAGTTAGAATAGAATGATCATTCATTAGGCTTTCATATGGAATGACCATTCTCTTGAAATGGTGAATAGTGATTCTATTTGTAATGCATTTTGTCATTATTTTTTAAGTCAACCAAATATGGAAATAAACATTTTGATGAAATGATCATTCCATTCTGTTTCACTCCAGTGAACCAAACACTACCTTATTTTCTATCCCACAAGTTAGTGTGAGTACATAAGAACCCAAGCCTGATTGGTTAGGTTCCCTCTCCTATTTTCATTCTTTGTATTCTTCTCTAATCCTATCATTCTTTAAACTTTAAGCAGTCTAGACTTTGTCTTGGTTCCGAAAGTAAAGATCTCAATGTAAATGTAACCTAACAATCTTTTATAGGCAATACCATAAAAGAAACATTTACCACTTGCACTGCTGAGAAATTTATTTCCTTCCTTTTGAGGGTAAGTATCAAGAGGTTTAAAAAAATAAATTAATTAATTAAACAAAGATCAGGAATTCACATGAGAAGTAAATCAAATGCCAAAAAAGTATGATTAATTCATTAGTCCCTTTTTGGTCCTCTTCCTTTTGGATTGGCTTTAAGTAAATGCATCCCCCCTTTTCATGATATTAGTAATTATAGATTAAGAAAGCTCCAAGAGGGGGCTACAACTATTCCATATTTTTCACCAATCAATTTGAATTCAAACTGCAGTATGGTCCACTACATTTACTAAAACTATTGGCAATAAGTCTTAAGGTCACCAAAGTCGACTATTAAAGAAACAAGCATGTAAATAGGGTAAGAGTTGAAATTGATTAGTTTTCTCAAAGTAATGCAGTAAAAGGCACTGGAATACTTTTAAGAAGAAGTGCATTTAAAAGGAAACAACACAAAATAATTGCACTTCCACGAACGTATGGCATGCTCCAACTTGCACCTCCATAAAAGTTTCAAACTTCAATGCAATTTTTAAGTACTTCTAAGGCTACAACACAAACAATCCAACAATAAAGTAGCATGCTTTATGAAACTGGACATTAAATAAATACAATCAATTAGTCATCATAGCAATGTACCAGTTGAAACACCAAGCATCACATTTTAATTCAAGTAAACACATTCAATATTCAAACAAAGAACTAACCATCTTGTGGGTTGGCATAATTAACATAGCCGTAACCCAGTGATCGCCGAGTAGTCAAGTCCCTACATACTCGAACAGAGACCACCTGACCCAGCTGGTTAAACAGGTCATAGAGTTGTGAATCGGTCACATTCACCTCGAGGTCACCGACATACAGCGACGTCGTCACGAACTGGTTTCCAGCAGCATTCGGTGCCTGAGGTTGAACTTGAACCTGTGCCATATCAACCCAATCCCAAATACAAAAGAATTTTCTTTTTCAGAATTTTTCAATTTTTTTTCTTGTTTTTTTTTCCCTATCTTCCCTCTCCTCTCTATTATTTATATAAAACAAACCCTAGAAAGCAAAAAGGACATAGCAAAAACAAAATTAGACAAAAAGGAAACCAAATCAAACCCTAGAAATTGAAGTTTTTTTTTGTTTTTGTTTTTGTTTTTGTTTTTTGGATTGAGAGAGAGAGAGAGAGAGAGGAGAGGGAAGGGGATAGATAGGGTAGATTGGTCGGAGATCCGACGGAGGTTGGAGTGATATCGCCGCCGGTGGCGACGGCGACGGCGCAGATGGGGGGAGAAAGAGAAAGGAAGAGAGAGAGCTAGACAGAGGAGATGAGACGTAACTGCGAACAGCGAAATCAGAGGTTTTGGAGCTGTGTGCATTTTATAGTTGGCGTCACATCACAGTGTTTACAGATCCTGAGATTAAATAGAAGCGGACGAAATCCGACGTTTGATTTGGGGAATGACCCCACTTGACCAAGTCAAGTAGTTAGATGAGTGTGTTTGGCAACTAGGTTTGCAGATTTTTTTGATTATTTTAATTATAAAAAATAAAATAGGTTATTAGTCATAACAAACAAAACATCACATCTAATTCATAATCATTACATTATTCTCTCAAAAAAAACTCAAAAAAGTCGAAAAACTAAAAAGTCCTTCCCAAATCAAACTTTTAAACCCAGACTAAAATAACTAAAAAAGTCAAAAAGCCAACCCACTTCCCAAACGGAGGCTGAATAATGTTTGAGAACTTGAATTTGGTCCCTCTTAATCCCTCTAATTTTTAAAATGATGTTGTTTTGGGGATTTTTTTTTTTTTATTCTTTCTCCGTTTTCGACTCTGAAACAGGGAGAGGGAGAGGGAGAGAAGCAGAGGGGAAGAGAGAAAGAGAGAGAGAGAAGACGATCGTCGATCGCCGATGCCCAGTCGCCGGTCGTCGTCGCAACCCAGCCCAGTCCCGCCGTCGCAGTCCCCTCCTTCCTCCTCTTCCTCCTCCTCCTCCTCCTCCTCCTCCCTCCTTCCTCCTCCTCTTCTCCTTCTCTGCTTCTGAAAGGCCCCCTCCAGTCCCCTCATTCCTCCTCCCCCTTCCTCCTTCCTCCTCCTCTCCTCCTTCTCTGCTTCTAAAAAAAAAAAAAAAATTAGGGGGATTCGGGGTAGCTCATTTCGAGCTACCCAGCACGACTCATAGTTAGATAAGGGGAATATATGTTTTATTTTTTGTTTGAAAATTTTCTAATAGTCTTTAATCTTTTAGGAGACTTTTCTCCGATCAATTGCGTGGATTAAAGTGTATTGCTAGATTCATGAGATTTGTTATAAATCTCGTTTCGATAATTCAAACTATTTAATATATAAATCTCATCGAGTACTTTATATTTGTAAAAAATTACGTTAATTGGATATCAGTAACCGCTTGATCGGAATATATTTTTGTTAATAATTTATTTTTAAAATTATATTTATCATTAACAAAAATATTTTCCGATCAAGGGGCTTCTGATATCCAATCAGCGTGATTTTTGTAGGCTTAAAGTACGCGACGAGCTCTACACATTAAACAGTTTGGATCATTGAAACAGGACCTACGATGGGCCCCATAAACCCTACAGAGAAGTCTCTACCTTAATTTATGAACTAGGGAGAAGCGTCTCCTTTAATTTTATTCTTTTAATGAGGTTTAAGGATAGGTTTTTAAGGGAAGTTTGGCCAAAATTCTCTCAAATAGCATGCATTCTTGGAAAAGTCCAACTTAAAATGTTTTAGCGTGATATGTTTCTCATGTCAATGTCTTTGATACACGAAGTCCATATTGGTATAAAACTATAATTTTATGGGCTATTTTACCCTCCTTCTATTGGTAGTCACTTATATATTTTTGCATATACATTTATATAATAAAGTATGATGATTTTTTAATCTTCAACTTATTTTGGTCGCATTAGGACATTGGATGGCTTATATCTGTTCAAATTATAAAATAATGGCTGAGATATATTTTTCAAAAATGTCTTACATGTACATTTTCTACTTTCTCACTTCTCTCTCTTACTTTTTTCCTTTTCTCACTCATCTTTCCATGATCATATGATCACACCTTCCTCCATCTTTTCTTTTTATTTTTTTTATTTTCTCTCATTATTTTCTATGTATTTGTTTATTTATTTATTTTTATTTTCTCCTTTTTATTCACTTATTTTTATTTACACTATACCTTCAGGTACGAATATACACTAGTATTTTTATATATTACAGCTCGTGTGAAACTTTAGCTAATTATTCAATAATTGAAAATGATTTGTGAGAAGTAATAGAGAAATCTTCAAGATGGCGAATTCTTACTTTGTTTGACAATGATTCTTTTGAAATTTTTGCATTTCATGATCGATTTTTAGGTAGGTTCAAATATATTCCATTTTAAATAGTGTTTTTTCATTGGTTTGCTTCTTCTCAAAGACACTAATGAGTAGGAGGTTGACTTCCTGATAATTAATGGATGTGAAGGGCTTGCAGTTCTTGTGTAGCATGCCAACTCAAAGCTTGGGTTCAAGTTCTTATAGATATATATTTCAATCATTGTTCAAATTAAGTTTCACTCGATCACTTCATTAAATTAGTGTTCGTGTTAGAGTTAGAGATACATTCAATCACTATTTGACTGTTACTAATATGTAATCAACAATCAAATAGTGATTGAACTGTCATTTATTAGATTAATTTTACTTCGATTGTTTTGATAATTTATGTCAAAGTGTTTTATTTGTTGATACTCTATTTAAATAACAGTAAAATTTTACTCTGATTCGCTATAAGAATATGTAATATATTATTTATTTGCTAATACTTTGTTTTAAATTAATAGTAAAATTTTACTCTGTTAAAATTATTGTTTAATTTTACTCTATTAAAGTTATGTTTTTGTAATTATTTATTAATACTTATAGGACCCGTTTGTTTGGGGAATAGAGGAAGGGACTGGATTAAGATAGAGGTGGGACTCAGTAATATTATCTTTGTTTTCAAATTTAGGGAGGGGATTCATAATACCTTAGGATTTTGATGAGCCTTCAGTGTTGGGATTCATAGTCTGTCTACATGGTATTAAAAAAATAGTCCGTTGGTACTAGGGGGAGATTTACTATTTTACCCTGTTATGTCGTTGCCCTAGCTTTTATCACTTTCACTTCCACATTTCTGGGCAAAAAGAGAAGCTCCATAAATGACTCTCAGCTGAGCATCGGTAGTACATTTTTTTTTAAAGCAAGCTATCAATTTATTTGGAATTTTTTTTTGTATTTGTGAATGGGTTCTGATATGAGTTTCTTTACCTCAATTTTCTTCATGTTTTTCTGTGGTTTGTGATTTGTGAATGGGTTTCGTTTTTCTTTTTTTAATTTTTTTGGGTTTGAAGCAAGCTAAAACATTTTTTTTGAATCAAGTTATCAATGTATTTCAGTTTTTTTATTATTATTATTTATTACTAGATTTTAAGGTTTCTTCTCTATTCTTTAACCCTGCCCAGAAATTTTTGCTTGCTTCAAACCCAGAAATTTTTTAAGCAAGCTATCAGATTTCTAAAGATTTCAAGTGAGGAAAATTGTTCTTGTATTTCTTTAATAAGCCTTTTTGAGGTTGATTTCTGGATTTGTGATCAATTTTTCCTAATAGAAAATGATAAAAACTAGATTACAAAACAACCTAAACAGACAAAATGATACACACACACAGAGATTAGCATAACCACTAAGACCCACAAATTATTTTGTTACAATAATTGTGGTTTATTTCATGTTAAAATAGAGATCTAATTATCTATGAATGATAGTTGCACAAAATAAAATGTATGCAAATAACTTTGTGAAATTTTTATACCTGGGATATTGGAACTACTAAGTGCTAATAGTTTTTTACAGGTTTGCTGAAGAATATTAGTGTTGGCTTTTCAATTACTTGTCAAAATATAAACTTCTGTTTTTTTGTTTTTCTAATTCCTGTATAATTTGAGATTTGAAAGTGTTGTTTCAGTGTATAAGCCCTTGTTTGGAAATAGGTTAATTTAGGTGTTGTTTGGCAAGGGCTTTTGTGGCTATTTTAGCCATAAAAGACAAAACAGATTATTTCAGCCACAACAAACAAAACATCACATCTAACCCATAATTATTACACTCTTTTCTCACAAAAAAAGTCAAAAAAGCCAAACAGTCAAAAAGCCTTCCCAAACCAAACTTTTTAGCCCAGGCTAAAATAGCCATAAAAGCCAAAAAGCCAACTCACTTCCCAAACGGAGGCTAAGCCCTTGCTATTTGGCTAAAAGCCCTTGCTATTTGACTTTTTGGCTTTTTTAGTAACTTTTTGGCTAAACCGGCTTGTTGCCAAACGAGGCCTAAGTGTGGAATGCTCTCACTTCTCTAATCACCTAAAAAAGATGACGCTAGTATATGTTGGTAGTAGGTTGTAGTATCACTATAAGAAATTGCACTTTTGGCAACTACTTTTTGCGACGATGTCAATTTTTCATAGCCAAAAGTACATTTTTGGCGACATAGTGATGAATTTCGTTGGAAAAAGTAGACCTTTACAGATGTAATAACATTCATTGAGTGCCAAAATTATTAGTTGGCGCCAAAATTTCAGAAATTTTAGCTACGAGACTTATTTTTTAATAAGACAATAAGCGTTGCTATTAGTGTGCTTACTTTTGGCAACGACAAGTTGGCATGGGTAAAGAGTTAAACATTTAGCGATGATAACACTATTCGCCAGTAAAAGTTTTACTTGTGAAACAAGGTGATTTAGTGAGTTGTGTTTTTATTGTAACTTTTCAAAGAGTTTTAAACATTCTAGTTATTGAATTATAAAATTAAAGTGATCATCGAATTAGATCACAAAATGAACCCATCAAGCCCAAATACACTCTTAAGTTGAGATGTCTAATTTGAGATAATCTAAACTTTTTCAAATAATGTGGTTAGATTATCAATTTTAATATGCTTGGTTCTATTTTCATAAACTTGGTTTAGATTTTTTTTTTCTAAAAAACTAAAAAAAAAAATTGGTGAAAAAAAAAAACTTATTATTTTTGTATAATTTTATCTTTTAGGAGGTCATAACTAATTTTTAAAATATATATTTTGATTTTTATTGTTCTCAAATTAGTTTTAATTTTTTCAAAAAAAAAATCTAAAACTTATTTTTATTTATTATTATTTTTTTTTGGTGATCTGCCTCTAAAAATTGTTAAGGCAGTGGAATGTTCCCTCTCAAAATTCCCTTTTTTTTTTTTCAAGATAAATAAATCCCCTCCATCACTCTCTTCGATTTTCACTCTTGCACAGCCTTCTCTCACAATTCATAGTTCTCTCCCCCTTACAATTGCACACCTGCATAGACGTTTGTTGATCGTCGGGTTCCACGATTTGCTGTTGCTGTGCAAGGCCATTAGTGCTTCAGTCTGCCCCTATAGGATTGTTGTTTGATTTAAAATTTCAGGGATGAAATTTCTTAAGGGGGGAAGATTATAGCGATTTTGGTTTAGACCCGACCCATTTGATGTTTTAGATCCGAGTTTCATTGTCTTATATAGTTGTTCATGTCTTGTTTCCCCTTATTACTCTTTGAGTTTGACTATTGGAATGTGTTGGTTTGGAATAGGTTGGTAGCTTATTTTTCAAATTGTTGTTGTCCAGAATTTTGCTTCTTCATTCGAGCAACACTTCTTATGCTCGAGCGGTTTTTAAGAACTTTCAGTACTTTTGAAAGCCTGCAAAACTACTGGGAGTTGGCATTTTTCGCTCAAGCGGTCATTCTTACGCTCGAGCGATATTGGCTCGAGTGGTCTTTCTTGAACTCGAGTAATGGTTGTCTGTTTGTAAAACTTCTAAAAGTTTGTATTCTTCGTTCGAGCGGTCACTTCTTGTGTTCAAGCGGTCACACTTATTGTGTCTAGTCACTAGAGCAACACTTATTTAGCTCAAGCGGTCTGCACATACATTAGTCCATAAAAGTTACTTTTTAAATCACCTTTTCATATATCTCTCTCTCTCTCTAAACATTCTAAAAGCCCTAGATCCACACACACACTCTCTCTCTCTCTCTCTCTCTCTTTCTATCTATCTAAAGCTCTACTTCTCTCTACAAATACATCTAGATCCGTCGACTTCTTTACCTGTGTCCCTTTGTTAAAAATGTAGAGCACATCGTGGGCTTTCTTTTGATCCGACCGAAGTTGGGTTTGGGTGTTATAAAAGTTCCTTCACTTTTTCTCTCATCTTCTAAGCTTGAGGTAGGGATTCTTTGCATTTTTTTATGATTTTTAACTTAGATATTTGTCATTATAAAATAACATTGTGATTTGGAGGAGTTTTGGGCAAACCTAAGGTTTGACTTGATTTTAAAATAAGGGTTTTCAAATGCTTTGTTGGAAATAATTAAGAGAATGTATTTATCGTTGAGTTATGATGAATTAGTGGATTTTTACCTTTGAAATTGGTTTATAAAGAAATGGGGTTTTACCTTGAATATATCAAATGTTGATTTTGAAAGGATAAATAAAATTAATGTTGGAAATGTGGAATTGGGTTGATATTGATGAGGATGGTGGAGTTTGATATGTATTATCACTCACATCTTGAAATTTGAAAAGTTTATCTTTATTGAAAATTATTTATCTGTTTAGAAATATCTGTTTTGGGCTGTCGGTGGAGGATAGCAACGATTGTTGTAGAAATTGCATGAGAAGTAGGAGAATTGCAACTATTGTCCCATCCATTTACATCAAGCATTATTTCACATTTATACATTGAAAATGTTTATCGTTTTGAGAAAATGGGTAAATCTGGGAAATATGTATTGTCTCGTTGAAATAAGTTTCCCTAAGTGTCCATGGTGAAATTCCTAAAAATCGCGTGTATACATAGGTGCCAATCTCACAGATGAAATTTCCATGAAATGGCAATAGTAGTGCTTGTAGAGTTTATGTTTATATGGGTATCGGTTTACGATTTCCCACGGACGAAATTTTCGTGAAATGTTGGATTTGTTTTGAGATTCCCAAGGTGTGATTCACTGCTCTGTTTTCTGTTGTAAAGGAAGTGGTTTATGAATTCTGATATGAGCCTGACATTTCATGGATTTGGAAAAGATATAAAATATTTTAACACGAGCATTGCATATGCATCAACCTTATATCTTTGTTAAAATTCATATACTATGTAGGATTATTTCTACTGGGTTTTGGCTCACTTCATATGAGAAAACCATTTTCAGGTGCTGATGATATGCCTCCGCCAAGGCAATAGCTTGGGAGGACTTAGAAGTAAGAGCTTCATTGTAGTTGTTTTATTGTATTTATTTTGTAAAGCCTAGGGGTTTAACTGTATTAGATTTAAATTTATTTTGTTGTAACCAAGTACTGTCTTGGAAGGCTATAAGCCTTTAGAGCATTCTTTATTTGTTCAACTTTCATTCTGTTTCCTTATCATGTAACATAAATTCAGGGTTAGACTTGTGAATGTATACCTGCATATGTTACCTTTTTGTACAAGTAATTGGGATTAATGGAAGATAATTATTTCATCGTGTGTTTTTATTTAACTAACGTATTCTATGGGTTATTTGTCTATTTTTTTATTATTAATCTGGTTTTCTTCGATCTGTCTTTGATATCCATGTGATTTTGCTGTTCGAACTGAGACTGTCGATAAGCTGTTGATAAGCTATATGAAGTGATTTAACTATTGATGTGAAATCGAAGTAAGTTTTATAGTTATTTGATTTAATTAGGTTTAGAATAGGATCTGTATATCAATGTCCTCATTTTGTATTTTGATCTGATATACTCAGTAAAAGAACATTGCTTGAAATGTCTCTATCCTTTACTTTGTGATCATTTTTAAAGCATTTCTAAATATATTATTTAGTACTTCTTCTTTTGAAAATCCGTGATTTTTGAAAATCATGAAATATTGCAGTTTTCCCCTAAAATATATATGTGTATATACATATATATATATATATATTTAAGTTTAGAAAACAAAAATAGAAACATACATCTAGGTGTTAATAGAAAATTATAGGAAAATTAAAAACAAATAAATAAAGTGAAGAGACAAAAGATTATTACTAGAACAAATATTCAGTTATAACTGATTAACATATTAATGGTGAAGTTGAAAGTCACCATCCCAAAAGAAGAAATATGGAAGGCGGCTTTGTTACAAGTCATCCTGATCATCTTGAAATTGAGAAGGCAAAGAAGATGCTAAAGGTAAAAAACTGAGATGTGTCCTACCAAAAAAGCAATAAAAATCACTTTGTTAACCTTATTGTTTGGCACCAAGTGATGATTAATCAGATAATGATAGTTTGGTGAAGAAGAAAAAGGAGAAGGAGAAAAAAAAGATATTTCTCATTTGGAAATTGACTATTTTAGTTGGCTTTTTGATTTTTTATGAAAAAATATACAAAAAATGAGAGAAAATGATGTGACAATTTATAATGACTTTTTGACTAAAATCTATGATTCCCAAACAATATTAAAGTAGTTGTTCATCTAGTTTAGTTGACAATGGGTAACTTAAGAAGAAGACAAAGTGTGATGTCCATCTTTCAATTCATGTGGATTTTGTGCCTTGCTTTTGTGTTCATAAGTAGAGTTTGATTTTGTTCACACACTATTGAAGTGAGTGAATAAAACAAAAGAGTAAATCAATAAATCTATAATTTTAAGTGGTGTTAATATAATTTTTGAATGTGGGATTCGCAGTTTTAGATCAATAAAATTTTGTGTTTTGTTCACATAATCACAAAGTATGTGAACAAATTTATTTTCTCATGAGTGGACAAGGATTGTTTGGAAAAGAAAAAAATTTGAATATTGCTGAAATTTATCTAAATGTATATGCTTTCATTGTTTTATATATATATATATATATTTACTAAAAGGAGAAATTGAGATTTGGATGGTCAAACATGTACATTCTTATTAACATTTTTTAAAAATTGTTATGCAATTTGAAATGTAAAATTATTAGGTAGTTTGAAAATCATATGATATTATTTTAGTGGTGTTTTTGATAATTGAAAATTTATAGGACATTTGAAGTGACTTATTCATTGTCTATTACTAATAAAGGTTGTACCCCATTGGTATTAACTACTACCTCATGATTAGTTATGGACAGGAGTTGGATGTTAATTTCTAACAGATTCAGTCAGCCATATGTAGATAAGGAGAACTCATTTATTGAATTTGTAAAGACTCATTTGAGTGAGGCTAGGGAGATTAAGTGCCCATGTATCAATTGTTGTAACTTTTATAAGCAGGAGTATGATATTATAAAGGCTCATTTGCTCATAAATGGGGTAATAGTATCATACACCACTTGGTTAGAACACGGTGAACTTTCAGAACACAATAACCTTGATGAAAGCAATAGTAAGTATGATGAGGATCAAGATGAATATGATGGACTAATAGACGACTATCAGAGGGGGAATTGTATGGAGGGTGATACTCTAGAAAGAGAGGATGTATGAAACTTTGATAAATTGTTAGATGCTTCCCAATGTCGCTTGTACCCAGGTTGCAAAAACTCAGATATTTTGTTATCATTCATTATTCAGATGATACATGTGAAGGTAGAAAATAGGTGGAGTAATAAGTATCTTGACAAGGTTTTGGAAATACAAAGGTGATTCCTACCAGAAGGCTATGTGGTGCCAGGGTCAATTTATGAGTGCAAGAAGTTACTACGTGACTTGGGCTTGGGATACGAGCTCATCGATGAATGTAAACATGATTATGTACTATTCTGGAAGGAGAATGCTCACTTGAAAAAATGTCCCACTTGTCAAGCATCTAGGTACAGAGTAAATGATAGTAAGGGTAAGAAGATCCCTTACAAGATATTGCATTACTTTCTATTGACACCTAGGTTGAGAAGATTGTACATGTCTAGGAAGACGACTAAAGACATGAGATGGCATAGTGATAAGTGTGTTGATGATGGTGTGATGAGGCATCTGGCTGATTGTAAAAAGTGGAAGGAATTTAATTTAAATTATCCAGAGTTTGCCCGATAGACTCACAATGTTAGGTTGGGCCTAGCCACTGATGGGTTTAACTTTTTTTGTGAAATTGAGCACTTCCTATAGCATGTGGCCTGTTATACTCATACCCTATAACGCCCCGCCTTGGAGATGTATGAAGGCCCCATTTTTTATAATGTCCTTGCTTATTCCTGGACATAATCAACCAGGGATTAATATTGATGTCTACCCAAGGCCATTAATTGATGAGTTGAAGGAGCTGTGGGAGAATGGCGTAATGACTTACAATGCCTCCACTGAACAGACCTTCCAGATGCATGCAACTGTAATGTGGACCGTAAATGACTTCCTTGCATATGGTGACTTATTCGGATGGAGAACTAAAGGTTATTTGGCTTGCCCTTATTGTAATGATAATCCGTTATCACATGGGTTGATCAGTAAGATCAGGTGGGTGGGTCATCGAGCTTACTTATTGCCTGATAACCACTGTTGGAGAAAGGACAAGAAGTTTGATGGTTTAACTGAGCTTAGGAAGAAATCCTTGGATTTACCAATGGAAAAAGTAATGGCTTAATTGGATCAATTGTGGGGAGTCAAGTTTGGAAAGGATCCTACCAACAAGAAAAGACCATAAGAGTCTGAAGAATTTAATTGGACAAAGAAAAGCATAATGTGGGAGCTACCGTATTGGAAGAAACTAAAGCTTCGACACATTCTTGATCTCATGCACATTGAGAAGAATATTTGTGAAAACTTTTATGGGATGATATTGGCCATAGATGGAAAAAACAAAGACATGTACAAAGCACATGATGATTTGTAAGAAATAGGCATAAGACAAGAATTACATCTATAAAGGAAAGATAACGGGATCTGTTTGTGAAGCCTTGGGCATCCTACACATTGGATTCTCGACAAATAGATGATTTTTGTGAATTCTTGAAGTCTATTAGTTATCCAGATGGCTATGCAGCAAACATCTCAAAATGTGTGACTTCTAAAAATGGAAGATTATCGGGCATGAAAAGCCATGATTGTCATGTCCTGCTTCAGCGACTTCTTCTAATTGGCATGCATGGTTTTGTAAACAAGGAGATCTATACAACACTATTTAAGTTGGGAAACTTCTTCCAAGAACTGTGCTAAAAAAATTAAGGCAGACTGATTTGAAAAAAATGAAGGAATGAATTGTGCCCATACTTTGCAAGTTTGAGAAAAATTTTCCTCCAACTTTCTTTGTAATGATAGTCCATTTGGCTGTTCACTTGCCCCGTGAGGCCATGTTTGCTAGACCGGTGGTTATCGATGAATGTATCTGATCGCAAGGTAATCATTATAAACATATGGTTATTTATTAATTTTTTATAAGTAAACTATTGTGCAAAAATCCACCCATAAAAGATTATTGTGCAAAAGAGTAATTTTCTTGCATCAACAAGCATAATTTTCATTGTCAATTTTGATTGAAGGTTTCTCGGGACTTTGAAAGGGTATGTCAGTAATAGAGCACGTCCAGAAGGTTCTATCGCTAAGGCTTACATTCTCAAAACATGTCTTACATTTTGTTCAATGTACTTAAAAGGGATTGATAAACCCCGAACAAAATGATGATATTTGTGAACGTGGTCCTGGGATAGAGGTCTTCACCCAAAATGTTCGTCTATTCTCACCTATCACAAGGGCTCTTGACCCTTTGTAGAATGAACGAGAAATAACTCACTGGTTTGTGTTGTACAATAGCTTTGAGGAGGAGCCATAGATTGAGTATGTATTTCAATTTAATTATGTTTAAGCACAATTATTCCATTTTGTTTTGAGCTCTCTAAGTTAATTACGTGTATCACATTTCCTTGGGTAGGGAGCATAAGAATATTGTACGTAATCTACAAGGACGTGACATAACTCAGGTACAACGAGAACAATTTCCAAAATGGTTCAAAAATCGTGTTAGATATACTAAATAACTTAACTAAATACTCACGTAATAAGTTTTAATTCACATTAACTTAGTACACTTGTTATATGGTGTTTTATGTAGATGAATGATTTGTGAACGAAAGGGTCACTTGAAGCAACTGACGAATTGTGGTCATTAGCAAATGGTCTTGGATCAGTAATTGACTTTTATTCTGGGTACATCTGCAATGGAATTCAATTCCATACTAGAAATCGTGAAAATCATCATATGTGCCAAAATAGTGGGTTGGTTGTAGAAGGGGACCATAATGGGAACCATATTAATTTTTATGGCTACTTGTGCAAAATATGGGAATTGAAACACTTGCATAGGGGTACAGTAGTTTTGTTCCAATGTGAATGGTATGACATCGATCACAAGAATAGAATATACTCCGATAAACATGTCACAAGTATTGATGTTAGAAGACTTTGGTATAAAGATGACCAATTTGTTCTATGTAGTCAAGTGAGACAAGTATTCTATGTCAACGATACCAACAAAGGCAAAAATTGGAGAGTTGTCGAACAGGTTAAGCATCGGGGAGTATGGGATATACCAGAGC